GAAGATTTAAGTTTCAATTTTTAACATGGATTTCCTATGCTGAGCCTTTGTGAAGTGGAGTTTTTTAAAGTTACTGACGACAATTTTTGTAGGATTTTTTTAAAAAACAAGTATGTGGTAGCGGAGAGTGTCTTAATTAAAATACAATTTTGAATAATATGGCAAGCAACCCTTGTTTTCAAACTGTAGCTTTTTTTTTTTTTTTTTGGTTTTTTTTGTTTTGCTGGATTTATGTGCGCTGTGTACTGTAGCTATTTTTTAATTTCTGCGCAGAGTAAGCGGGTCTTAGCAGTGCTGAATATCACAACTTAACTTTGTTACAGCAGTACAAACTTACTCATGAGAAGAGATATTTTAGGTTGCTAACCACTGTATTTAGGTTGCTAACCACTGTAGTCGGAGAACGTCCTTAACTTAGCATGATCTTTACTTAGGCTCTGTGATGCAACCTGTTATATTGTTCTTTATCAGTAATTACACTGTTCAACACATTTTTAGGACCTAAATAAAGAAAGTGTTTTTTAATGGATTTTTGGTCGCAGAAAACGAATCCGGCAGCAAAAAAGGCCTACCACGTCAAGTTTCCGAGAAAATTAAGGTTAAATGTGCCAAAATTGATGTTTTTGGCTATATTTACCATTTTTTTATGGTAAATGTCTTTATGGTATGCCTTTATTTTTTTGTGAAGGGAGAGCAGGGGGGAGGGGCACAGCCCCCTCTTGCCTACACGCTTACAACACAAACAAACTGTACACGGTGTCGGAAAATAACAATTTATTGCCGCAACTTCTTTTGTTTATAATTTTTTAACGAACAACGAGCGATGGCTAAAAGTTGCAAATTGTTATTTCGGAAGGTGTCCTTGACAATATATGTTAAGGACAATGACCTCCGAGAGTACTCCGTTTTTATACATATTTACCGAAATTAGTTACTATACGGCCAGCAAAAAAACATTTGCTAAATTTATTAAAATTTTTGTATTGTCAACAAGATATTTTGTCGATGAAACAAAAAATTTTGTAGACTTAACCGTTTTTTTGCTGATTATATGACAGCAAAACTTTTTGTGTGTAATAATCATTTTCCAGTTACTGATTTATTATATGATAATTATGTGTATCAAAGCAATCGTACCGTAATAAATATGAATTTATATTATAGATAAAAGATAAGCACTTTAATATGGCGTAAGTAAAATTGGAAAAAAAATATTTTGACCGCAAAATAATGGTAAATATAAACAGAAACGATCATTTTGACACATTTAATTCTAATTTTCTTGGAAATCTGGTAAGCTAATTTCGCTGTCGGATTCGTTTTCAGCGACTAAAAATTCATCGAAAAAAACTTTGTTCATTCAAGTCCTTCAAAACCTCTATTTTTGTAAAACTGTGTGTGTGTGTGTGTGTGTGTGTGTGTGTGTGTGTTATTATATCGCTATCCTATATAACGGTATTATATTATCTAACTAGCATCTTCCGCACAGATTTTATGTGTTTGCTTACTATCTTTTTTTTATACTCACGCATACCACACAAGATTAGCATAAATTTGAGTACTATTAATGCGTCAGTATTAGACATATGCGCATATTCGGAGAAATTAATATGTTTCGATTAATTTCTCTATAGGTTGCCAATGTGCACATTTTGAATATCAAGCGTGTTCAATGTTGTGTTCAAAGCGTGTACATAAAATGCTTATAACTTTTGGAAAAATAAATTTATATATTACTTATTATTCCTATTTTTAGCAATAATCTTAGTTACAGTCTAACACTTAATTTATTAATAAATTCTAGTTTATTTTTTTCTATTCTACATTGAAAAAATTATTTTTTTTAACCGCAATCAAAACATTTGGTACACACGTTTTGATTGTCAATACACAACGTTTTGCTTATACTAACCAAATTAATAATAGAAAGAACAAAACTTAACTTATTTTGTGTCGATTAGCGCAACTAAATTATTTGCTAGTCTTCAGTTTCTTTAATAGAAAAATTTTCATCTTTAACAGAACTATTATATTATGTATAATTATATACCATACATTACATAACATATACATTTTTTAAATAATAAAATATTCAAAAAAAGTGTAATATCACATAATTTAAATACATATATACATATATAAATATTTTTATATATACATATAAAGAGAATTTTATATAAAGAAATATTTCTTTATATAAAATTTCTTTATACACATATATGCATGCATGTATGTATATAATTTGTGATACTACATTTTTTTCCAAATAAGTTATTATTTATCAAACTTTTATATTATGTATAATGTATGTTATATAACATTTTATAATATAATGTAGTATAAATATAATAGTACATAATAATATACAGGGTGCGGCGCCAAAATCCGGACAAATTATATATGTTTATCTAAATATGTTTTATTGCTACAATGAAAAGATTTACAAAATTTGTTTAGCTCCATTGTTTGTAAGGCCATAAATAATATATTCACTCAATATATCCCCCGCTTGCTTGAATGATCGCCTCCATTCTCGGTCTGAATCGTGCGCAGGCACG